ACTCAGCATCCGCTCCTTAAAAAATTATTTCGAAGTGTCAATGGCGTTGTTTGTGAATTGAAGTGTGTTGCTGAGGACTCATTTCTCCCTGCCTGTCTCCTTTCCTGCCGTCCCTCCATGTCACGCCCTGTTAAGAGAACCTACAGGACCTCATTAAACGTAAAACTGGAGAATAAATTAAAGTACATTCTGAGCAAGTCCTTATCCCTTGCTAAAAGGGTAGGGCATCAAACATGGTGGGAGGATCCCAGTTCCTAAAAAGAATTCTTCGGAAGTGAACTCCTCCCTCACCCCAAACGCGACAAAGAGAAAAAGAAACCCCCAGACAGGGTAAAGAAATTCCTGAACGAGTCTCGATTCCTCCCCCCTGGGACTTCTAATGATCCAGTGCTAAGGAGAGAACTGAGACACCATCATCGATCTAACTATGCACTATGTACTTTCCGATCGATCATGTTTGAAAGACAGAGTGCACATGGAGGAAATCACTGTAGTGGTTACTCTCTTATATACAGCATTTACATTGTTAAACGGCTCCACTGAGTCGCGGCTTACAACTGAAGGCCCGGCATCCTTCCTTTACAAGTATCGTGAAATCTTATATGGGTTTAGCGAAGAATAAGTTCTGTGGTAGTTGAGCAACATTTAAAGCAGCACTTTATCTTAAGACGAAAAGTTTTGTTTCGTTAGGACCGATGACTATTTGAAATTCTCTTATTTTCTGTGGTCATAGGGTCGTAACTTACAAACGTTTTCCCGCGACGCGCGATACCTTTGCAATATTGTTCTCTAATATAGGACGGAAGTGATTAAAGTAATTACTTAAAACACGTCAGACCTTTCTCTATTCTTGAAATTAAGCTTAAAGGATCAATGTGATGTTAACCTTATTAGACATCTGGGTAGATTACATCCAACACTGGCGGTATTTTCTGCTGAGGAGAACTTCCCTTTGTTCTTATGCTCAGCTCAAGTGAAGATCACTGTTTTGTTAATTATGAGGGGTACGTAACTGCTTATTTTAATCTTACTATTTTTACAGATTTTCTTGAATACTCGATTAAGTAATATTGATAGTTTCTAACAATAGCAAAAGAATACAAGTTCCGACTATAATTTTACTAAATAAAATTCTTTTTTCTTTGTTTTTGTTGTTGTTGTTTTACTTTTCTTTCACAGCTTCTGTCACTCTCTGGATCATCCTCTGCATTTCTAAGTCTCTCCAAATCACTGCTGTTCAATTATCAAACTTTTCCGCGGTTAGTTCAACCGGCTTCTTTTGTGGTATTGTGTCAGGGCTCGTCTAGTGACTTTCACTTTAACAATTCCTCCCCGCGCAAAAACAGAGTCGATTGTAGGCGTCTTAAATATAGGTTCTGCTATCGCAAATGGCAAATGCATAGCAAAATGTCTCCGCGAATTCTCTTCCATGGTATATGTGATCTCTACCCACGTTATACAAATTTATAGCTTGTATTGAAGACATCAAAGTTAGAAAATCGTAATTAAATACTCACAAATAACAACTAAGGCCATGTTTGCGAAGGAAGTACGCGTGAAATTAAATCAGGAGAAATTGAACTAAAGGTAACAGTAAAAGGGGTAAAAGAGAAAAAAAACTTCGCTCTCGCCAGTATACAAAAGTATAATTCTACTGCAGTGGAACCTGGCCTTACGCCTAACCACCCTGTCCTGGTACTACCATCTCGATTGTCTGTTAGTTAGTAAGACCATATTCTTTCGACCCTGATCACTGAGCCATTTTATTGTTTTGAAGACCCGGTTAAGGCGACCACCTCGTTATTACGACCAGGATTCTATGGCAAAACGTTAACGAGGTTCCTCTGTAGCATAAATCAAGCCGTTAGTATTGTGTTACATAGTCAACTATTCAACCACTGTACAAACAGGGGTACAGGAGAGTAATTTTTAAGCCCCGGTTGATCAAACATTTTCGTCCAATATTGTATTTGTCATGCACCAAGAAAGGGTGGCTACACGATCAAACATTTGTTTGTAATCGGCAAAATTTTGGATCAAAATATTTAAGTACTGTTTAAAAAACCATTAGGAGTGTACTATCTGGTTTAAAAACTCGAGGGGAATCCAAGAAAATATCTGAGAAAACGTTGAAAAAATGAAATTGTTTTCACTTTCTGACCGCAGTCTTCTGACTTAAGGGCGCAGTCCGGTTAAAAGCATTACTTTTCGTTGATTTCTACCCTTTTTCTTAAATGTTTAGCCAAGAATTCATTCAATCAAAAAGTGACTCGATTAAGTTACAGTTCTTAATTCAATAATTATTTGGGAATTTTTGGATGATTTTTCGAATGTTTTTGATGTCTAAAATTAGTGGGGGGGGGGGGGAGAAGTTTAAAATTTTGGAAAAATGGGAAAAGTTTTTTTTTGGGGGTATTTAATTTATTAAAATAAAAGGGAATAATTTGTTAACATTATAAACAGTGAAATTCTTATTTTACTTTCAGCAGCTGATGTTTTTTATACGTTTTTTTTTTTTTTTTTTTTTTTTTTTTTTATTAAGTATTAAAAATAAAATAATTAAAAAAAAAAATATTTTTATTTAGAATTTTTTTTTATATTTTTTTTTTTTTTTTTTTTTTTTTTTTTTTTTTTTGTTTTTTTTTATATGTAGAGTGGGGGGGGGGGGGGGGGGGGAGATGTTTAAAATTTTGGAAAAATGGGAAAATATTGTTTTTGGGGGTTATTAATTATTAAAATATGAAGTGAATAATTAGTACACTATTAAAACCGGTCATGTCTCTATTTCCTTCCCAAATCAACATCATTTCCCCCAAAAAACGACTAGAATGCGCCCTAAAGCAGTTGCAATTTCCTTTTTTCCGGGCTCCAAGAGCCCACGCACAACTGGCCGAGTCATGAAAGAACAAAGAAAAGAGTTGTAGTAATAAAGGTAAGAACTTCTGCTGGGTGCTGGCCCGGGTGCTGGCTAAAGCGATCATGCAAGTGAACGGAGACCTGCTATCACATACGATATACTATCACATACGTGCTTACATACGATCATGATTGCACTTTCACTGCCGTGTAGTAAAATTCTAAGTGTAGTAGATAAAAGTCATCTGATTCATGGTGTAGTTTAACTGAGTCAAAATAAAATGAACTAAACAAGCTATGTGGAACGAAGGCTGACGAGTCTCTCAGAGTACCTTATGTTGGTAATTTAGAAGGGCATCGCCGAGACTGATGCCACCCTAACTGAGGGGAAACTTCTGGCGTATATCCTCTTACCTGGCTGACTTATGGTTGGTAAAGCTTCTACATTTGTAAGCATTCATAACTTATGCTTAAATGAGCGATCAAAAAGGGGACACCCTCGGGACCAAGGCAAGTGTCCCCTGATTGGAGGTTGGTTTGGGGTTTGTTGATAAATAACCAAAAAAGGTTTCTTTTCTTCTATTCTCCCTCTGAATCTGCTGCAGTCATTACCTCAAGTAGCTAGATTATGCCAAAAATCATTATCTCTGTGACGTTTTGTTTTGAATCCTACAAGTACGTACAGTACATCAATTTAAGTTAGATTGTTCATGTTTTGAAAGTTTTCGCCATTGTGACTAGTATACACCTTAACTTATCAACGATTTTAGTGGTCAGTCACTTTTTGAGTGCTAATGTGTCACCCGAATGGAGGTTGAGATCCTTTTCCGTCTCCCTTTAACAGAGGTAACAAATACAAAGATTATGTGTCGTAAATATTTTTGGAATTTTTTTTTTGTGAAAGTAAATTTTTCCGGGTCCAAATTTTGCGTCCCGTGAATGGAGGTGTCACTTGAATAGAGGTGTCCCAATGGAGAAGTTTTTCTGTAAAGTGTTTGAAGGAGAGAATCTGGGAACTGGTGTCTTTCATAATGGCGGTGGCTCTATTATCAAACGCTATGAAAATCTGGTGAAAACGAACATTGATAAACTTTAAAGGTTGATTTCCACTGACGCGTTTTTCGCTGCGCACGTTATAAACGCACGTAAATTCTCATCACGTAAATAAGATAGAGACAAGATAAAAAGTGCTGAGTTTAAACGAGAAGTTGAGCGAGGTTCAACTTTCACCAGCTTTTACGCTTCATGCATTGCATCTATTTCATTTGCGAACGTAAATTTTTCGCACCGTGTAAGCACGTAAAAATTAACGCGACACTGGAAACCAACCCTAACTGTTTTGTTTTATTTGTGATAGTGAATTAAAAAAGAGTTGAGAGAAAGAAGAAGGAAAACAGGCACCGAGCGGATTTGAACCACTGACCTCTGGTTTACTAGACCAGCGCTCTAACCAACTGAGCTACGGCGCCAAGATGCGAAGCGAAGGCATTTTTTTAAATCATTATAAAATTTTGTGACTCATTAGTCGATGGTTTCCATAGAAACACGATACTTCCAACGCTAGTGAAGTGCGTGTCGACAGTCTAAATATTGTCACGGATGACTAAATTGTCAAACTGCGTTTATCAACAATGGAACACTACGCGTACTTTTGCCCGAGGGTTTATCTCTCTCAGGGGCCGACAAGACGTCCTTTATCGTATTATTTACTCTTTTTAACTAATGAATGGTTTAATTTATACAGCTTTATCTTGAACTCGGCATAAAGAATAATTTATTTTGCTTAAGAGCTCACGGGAGACAGATGATTGCGATTATAATGTTTTTCACGTCGTTTTTGCTTTGTTGCCTTTTCAGGGCGGCACTGTTTCTTCCGCAATCTGTCAGTCAAGCGTGAAAACAGAACTGCCGCGCGGTGCGATCAATGCTCGAAAACACCGACTGTGTTTAGCGAACAACCAAAATAGTTTAAGATTAGTGTTTTCGTTTCCATATCCTGGAAATTTGCATTTTAAATGTCCTAATTTTCAGTGTTCAAAACGACCCGACGCTAAATTTCCATCGGGTGGATATTTGTGGATTTTTGAATCGTTCTCTGCTCGCGACGGAACTCAACGCTGTTACATGATCTGAAAAATATGGGCAATTTCCGACACTAATCCTTGGCGCTGGATTTTGAGCTAAGTTTTGCTGGCTAGGATAACATTAAACAGCTGTGCCAGAAGAAAAGAAAATTGAGTATCTTTCCGGGCGCAGTTGGAAAGGAAATTCGCTCAAATCGCTGCGTATGTCTAAAGAGCACTGAATATTGAGAAATTTCTTTTAAGCAAAAATTGAAACTATTTTGATTTAAACGTTTTGCCACTGAAATTTTAAATGTAGACGCTGATTTCGTATGCCATTTTGTCTGCGGCTTGGGAGACCGGAATTTATTATTATTATTTTCGACTTGAAATTGACAACGGCATCGACGCACGCGCGCAAATTGGTCACGCTTGATCAATTTTCGCGGCCTCGAACCCCACGTGGGCGTGCATTTGTCGGCTCGCAAACAGACTATTCCCACCTACCTTGCATTTGGTTGGCTCGGAAGTGGCTTGTGGCTGCGTGAAATTTGTGTTTGATCAACGGCAAGCCTGTCTGACGTTCGCTGCTGATATCGTTACCGATTGATGGAAGTACTTTGGCTATAGTAAAAAATAACTTATGAAGATTTTCAGTTCCAGATTTTAGAGCTTTTCCGCTTCTCTGGCCGAGTTTACCCGCAAGTGTTATCGATGTCACGGATTGTTGGCTGTGATAGTTTTTTCCGACGTCCTACGACTTTTGTTATCAGTTGAGTATGGAAAGCAGTGTCGAGCGGCCGATTTCTCCGAGCGATCGAAGCGAACCAGGGGAGAAACGATCTGGTGATTTCGAAGAGACGGTACCTCGTAAAAAGCGACGGAGATGCGGTGGTTGTGAACCATGTCTGAGAAAAGTAAATTGTGGGGAGTGCAGCAATTGTGTCAATAGGAAAACTGGTCATCAGATATGCAAGTTTCGTAAATGCATTGAACTTAAAAAGGTGCGAATTATGTGAACGAATGTATTGATTCACGCTCGAAACTAACAGTCCTCGCGCTTGCATTTGCGCTCAAGGCTTATCAACCGTTAACTTTAAAACATTTAAGTAATAAATTCATTTTGTCTTTGCAGAAAACGACAACGGGCATCGCTACAAAGCGAGACGGTGTTCAGTTGCGACAGGGTATTAATGAGAGCGACGCGTCTGAAATCTTGCGTCGCGTGAGTAACGAGGAGCAAGATAAGGTAAGATATTTCTATATACGTGTAGCTTAAAATGATTCTATTCTGATTTAGGCAAGGGAGACTTTCATATGTAAACGAATAGGAGAGTTTTTGTTCCTCTGAGTTTGTGCGCGAGCAATTTATGCGAGCGTTGTTTGCTAATATCTTGTCTTTATTGTTGTGGTTTGGATTTTTTTTCTCGAAGCGCTTTGGCGACATCGTTGCAGAGAATGAAACTATCACGGATGGCGATTCTGGGGAATCTAAACCGCAAAGAGCAGATTCGCCTGCGATAATTGAGCAGAACGCCGTCGAAACTTCTCAGCTGCAGAACACAGAAATCAACGCATCTGACGAGCTCCCCAAAGACGTTCGTGTGAATATAACAGCAAGAGATGTCGTGCAGCCTTCCAGTGCAGTTGAACCGAGCGTTGAAAAGCTATTGACAACCAGCAAGCCATCGGCTTCCCGCGGTGAGAGCGATTTCGGACCCCCTTCTTGCAACTGCCCAGGTATTTACATATTTTTTTCTTCTTGTATTCTTATTCAAATCCAAAAGGTTTTATTTACTTCCAGCCGGCGTGAATATTCCATCCGCGACTGAGTCGAGTTCGACTAATTTGGTTGATCTCTTTTTTGGGGTGCCGCGAGCTCTATTTACTTTCGTTTCGGCTTTTGTGGATAGCGTGAGATACGAATGCCCAAGACGTGCTTTGTTTGAAGGTTTAAATAAACCTAATTGGGGATTAAGACGGGTTGCTTGGAATAAAATTTATTAAAGTGTACCCGAGCGGTACCAGCCCGAAATTTGTTGACATAAGCATGAAATTGAGAGCGGAAACCTTTGGGTTAGCCCACGGTGAAATTTATTAGTTTTGCACACGGAAAATTACCCTAAACGTTAAAGAGGTTTTCTTATCAAAATTTTCATCAGTATCTTGTTACGATAGAGATCACCGTTTGTTTATATGTGTCGCAACCACCCGTCAAAACAGCCGCTTGCGTATGTACACTACTGCGCCTTCAGCCATTCAGCGTCAAGTTTTTGTAGTAATTCCTAATCTGCCTAAACGACACACTCCTTTGAGCTTTCGCGAAAGTTTTTAATTCACGTTATCGGCCTAAATCATTAAATCATCAAAGACGCAACGTGAAATGAACCGGCGCAAAAAGGTGGAAAAGAAAACAAAGAGGCATACGTTACCCTTTGCTAATGGCTTCGAACGTGGAAGTTGTCGGTTTCACGGCCTATTGTTTGGTTTCTAAATGATTGATGAGTGCTCCACTCCACACGTCTCACGGCACACATTTGTCGAGACGCGTTCTCGATTTTTGAGGGCAACAATAGAAATTAACAGCTCCGAGGTGGAACCGAGTACACTAATTGGTTTATATCGTAAGAATCATGGTATCGAATTTTACCTAATCCTGGCAAAAGGTAAAGAAATGAAGAACCTTGATTTCGCGATATTAGAAGATTATGGAATAAGCCATCAAATGCAGAGAATAGAAACGACCGGAAGTAACTATTATTCGAACATGTACCCCAGTTGCAGACAACGTTGCGGCCACCTTCTCCAATGGGTTTATAACTGAAAAATGATGTATTATATTTCCCGAAGCCTTTTAATACCACGTTGTATTTCTGTAGTAAGAAGTCAGCGTACTTTGCAAGAATTTTGACATTTTCAAGTGTAAGATTTAAGAAAAAATAAAGGTATTTTGTTGACATGATGTTATATTTTGCTTGCCAGTTTTTGTACAAAGGTTTTTGAAAATTTTTTACAGAATCTCACCTTTTTGGTTTTCGTGGTCAGCAGTTATATTTTCACGTGCCTAGCAATAATTGCCCTATAGAAGCTCAAGCACTTTCTCTATGTAAACAACTGGAATATTAGGCAAATAGAGCTGCAGCTGACTAAAAGTACAAAAGTGTGATTCTCTAGGCTCATAAGTAGTTGTCCAAGCAAAATTTATGGGCCTGCGTTTTTTAGTGAACTGTGTGATGCATTACAAAAGATGTACTGAAGTGTCCATTATGCTTTGTAGCATTTTGCATCTCTTTCTTCAGGGTATTCAAAACAGCTTACTAAGTTTCTTGCATTTATTTTGGTACCTTCCTTCTTTTTATTTGATGCATTGAGGTTAAAGTAACTGCATTTTCATACTCCTTCACCTTCCTTTATGACTCTGAATTTTGTTTGTAATGGTGTTGCTACAGTAATTCTGCATTCCATGGGCAGCTGTGTTATCAGTTGTAATCTTCCTCATAATCACTTCCATGACTCCTATAACAGTTCCAATACACAGGTACACTTGTAGAGTAAAGTTTGAATCTGATCTCTGATTCCTTAAGGTGGTCAAACTGACTCAGTTGATTACTCTATGGTGTATTGATGTGGAGCTGCTGGGGTTGTCGGGGCTTCTTTAAAGCAATTTCCTATTTTGTAACAGCCATATTGGTGTACTTAAAACTATGAAATAGGTGGCCATGCATGTTGTTGTACCAAGCCAATCCTGTGGGTGGTTAACTCTTTCTGAGGAGGGTGGGGGGTCCTCAACAAAATTTTGGACAGAAAAGGTACCACTTTATACCTATTATTGGCAAATGTAACCCCTTTCAAATGGCGGTTTATGTTCTGTCTTTTAAATATCAATAAATCACTGAGCCAGAAAGTTTTCGTGTCTCTTACACAGCTATAAAATCTGCCTGCCTGTTAGCCCTTTTAGATCCTTTCATAGTCTGCAATGACTGATTTCCCTACCATTTTCATTTACATCAAGTAGTGAAAAATCCTGAAGGCTGAACAAGGTACCCCTTTGTGGTGGAGCCTGATTCCCTTAGAGGACATTATAGGGAGTACCCCTCACCCCAGGATTCTTTCACTTCTTCATGTTACAGTAAACTGACAATACCACTTGTTATTCATTTCGTCACCATGTAAATAACATGTTCCGAATGGCTTTAGTTTCAGGGAAAGAAGATGGTCCTTATTACACTTACCTGGGAGCAGCACCAAACATGAGTACCCTTAGAGATGTCTTGGAACAAAGGTAAAGTGCTGAAATTGCACTGGGTCTGTGGCCAGATTTATTATGATTGCTAACACCCGCATTTATATAAGTGGGCCTCTTCATTGTAAGGGTTATAATCAACACAGGTGAAGATGCTCAATTCTTTTATAAAAGTCAGCTACTTTTTGGCCTGTATGCAGTTCAAAAGGTTTTTTAAAAGTTCCTTTTCTGGGAAGGGTGTTTTGGCATATTTTATTACCATCATATTCATTTTATTTTTAAAGATGAATCACTTAATTAAGCAGCCATTTGTGTTGATCCAGATGGGTCAGTTCTAGAATGGGACTGAGATCATGGAGATGGGGAGTCTCGATGTGCTCCACTCAGGGGTCCTAATGCAGAGATGCCAACCTCTGGAGATCTAAAATCTGGAGACTCTCTTTTTTTCACTACACCCTGGAATTTTAACGGACCCCACCCCATGACAAAATGACCCAGCCCCCAATGGGAATTACTAAGGACATTATATGAAGTCTTACATGAGGTACATATTCGCAATCATTGTTTTGATGTCAGAAATAATATTTGTCTGCAAATTATGTCAGCGACTAAATATGTACTGCGAGTAAGAAAAATTCAGGTTTTGAGCTAAAAATTGGCTAAATCTCAAACTAAGGTACAGAAAAGCTCAAAAGATGATTTTATCCGGGAGATATGGTCACCCGTACTGGAGAGTGGGAAATCGGTGCTGTATCCAGGAGAGTTGGCGTGTATGCTAATGGGGTGAAGACAAGGGTCCTTGAGAAATTTCAAAATGTGGCCAAGACAAGACAAGACAAGAAGATTTATCTCATTCGGCTCCATTTACATGTAACACAGATTGAAAAAAAGAGACAAATAAATACATTTACATAAGCAAAGAATAAAAATTGTAGTCTCAAGATAAGGAGCGAGTTTAGATCATCCAAAATGGCAAAGGCTAATCCCTGGGGACGAGGTTGCTTGCTCTGCAAACTTGCAAGGCAAGCTTTGTTGTCTCAGCTATTTTCACAGTAAGAAAGATCCACTTTATTTGCCTTTGAAAATATATATGCAACTGAGAAATCGCAGGACCTTCTTTTAAGATGAAGATTTTGAAACGTTAATCTCTTTCTTCAAATATCCCTTTTTCATTACCAGATTCTCTATCAAAGGCTCAGCCCTGAGAATTGAATTGGTGAGTATTGACAGTCAACACTTAAATAACGCAATATGGTTCACTTGCGGTTGTCAAACAGGGGATATATGTATTTATTTCTTTGATACCATTTTGTCAAGCTTGTATTTGATTAATGCAAAAGCACTGAGTCACTGCCTTAAGGCAAGACATTGATTCAAGATATGAAACAATTCATGTCAAGAAATTAAACTGCGAGACGTTTTTATTATGTTATATTTACAAAATTTAGACAAATTAAAAAATCTAACCAATATGACCATTTCTTCCTTTCTTGGTGGAACCAACAGGTTAACGTTCTACCCACTCACTGGAGAAACTACTGACAGTTGAATTAAAAATTTTCTGCTGCAAAAATCAACGAAAAGAAACTAGTTTTAGTAGCAGGCTTCATTAGGTAACTGTCGGGCTAAAGGTGCGTAAATCTATTCATTAAACAACAAAAATAGAAAGTCAAAGACATTGAAAGCGTCGAACAAAAGTTGCATGCCGTATTTTTGGGGTTGTTTTTTTTTCAGGTATTAAAATGTTGCTTTTTTGTTTGATTTCTTTCTTTTATTAAGTGTTAATTGATACTTAAAATAACGGACCATTTGTTTTAGAAGGTTAAAAGATCCATAACGGCCACGAGACGAGACACATAAAATACGTCCGTAATAGCAAATTGTGACCAACGTTTTGTCCTAGGGAATCCATTTCCAGAAAAAATGAAGACTTCAATATGAGGAGAGTTCTTCAAGCCTTCCTACTTCGAGTCACTAGCCAGCCTTTGCCCCGCCCGCCCCACCCCCAATTTTTTTCAATGATCCGAGCACAGAGAACGTGTATGGCCACTTTGCTAATTCCAATAAACTCTTTATCGTTGGTTTTTGTTATTAATCAGGTTATTCGTCGTTCCGGTAAGGAAGAGAAGATATTGGTCCTGGCGAAAAAGCGAGTTGATCACGTTTGTGAAACGTCCCTGATTGTAACTAACATAGTGTTATGGGAAGGTGTTAACCAGGCGAGAGCGGATAACTTGTATAAGCACCTTAGCACTGTTCTACCACAACATGGTGTTCCTACTGCCAGACGATGCGGAATAAACGAGACGTAAGAATACATACTTTATATACAGAAACAATTTCGGAAAGCACACAAATTAGAACTGATGAAATTCTCGTTCGTTTGTTGATTCCTTGAAATACTTGGAAGACGGAAGACCTGAGTTCAAGTCGCGCTGCATTTGTGTTTCCGGATTTGTGTGAATAGTCCATTTCCCAGTTGCCTCAAGCCTCTGTTTCAAAGCGAGGCTAAGTGCGAAGCCATTGATACAAAAATGAGTTTTTATTCTCATGCGGGGAAACTAACTCATTTTCACAACAAAGGTTTTGCAATTTGCCTCGTTTAGAAAGAGAGAGTTTTTGGACTGAATTGGAAATTGCTTAATTCAACTCCTCTGTAATGCTTTTAAAGGTTGTTTTTATTTTCCACTTGTCAATAATTATTAATTTGAGTGCCTGTAAACTAGATAGCTAGAGCAGCTTAGTGCACTTCCACTCACCAAAGGATTTACCATTTTTATTGCACTGCAGCAAATCATGTGCCTGTCAGGGGACAAGTGATGATACTTGTGGTGCGTCCTTTTCTTTTGGCTGCTCCTGGAGCATGTTTTATAATGGTTGCAAGTTTACTCGTAGCAAATCTCCGCGCAAGTTTAAATTACTTGATCCTTCCAAGGTAGGTTATTATTTAACTTGCACTGCACTAACTTCTCTTTAAGGGCCCTTTCTCTGATCATTTGTGGGAATTAGAAAACATTTTTATACTCTTGATATGAACTCAATGTCATAAAACACGTACACGCGGCTACATTGCATGTCCCCAACTCCTAAAATAAGTAGATTTACAGTTAAGTTTTGAAGTTTGTGCCGAAGACGAAAGCAACCTCGCTAAGCTCATGCGCAAATGTTTTTTGTACGCCTTGAAAGAGGGTAAATCATTTCTTCCCGCTAAATCAGCTGTTGTGATAATTTTCCTTTTGCTTTTTTGTGTTCATAGGAGGAAGAATTAGAAACAGTAATGCAAAACTTAGCGACTGACTTATCCTTTGCGTACGAGAAGATTGCTCCAGAGGCCTTTAACAACCAGGTGAGATAGCAGATAGTTAAAGACGGCTCAATATCCAGGTCATTTAATACGACTGAAGCTTACTGATCCGGTTTATGTGGCTTGAATATCCTCAAAATGGTATTTATCCATCGAAACGGAGGCTAACTGTTTGCAAGGTTAATCCTGCGTACACTGTAGTTTCTTACTGGTTATGGATAGAGATTTATCTGCCCTGGGTTTCAGAGACTTGTTTAGCGGTTTCCCTTCATTCTGTCAAGTCTTTATCGCCGCTCTTAGCTTAGCCGAGCCCGAAATATTCCACCGAAATTTAAAAAACTTGTGGTAAGCAGGGTAACATGTGTCCACTAGATTGCCATGTCGTCGCACCTTTGTAACAACCAGATATGAAAGGCTGTATCGAGGCTGGGCCAAGACTCAAGAAGATCTCCGATTCTGAGTGTTATTTTATTCAACGTCTTCGTTAGCAATGGTCATTACCATTTTAATACTAAAATTCAGGTATAACCGTGACTTAATAGAACTTCGTGAAACGGGTCTTTGGTCAAGAGCTCTATAGCTCTTGCTCTGGTCCATCGGTGCAAGAATGATTACCGTAAATCATTAGTCGCCATAAGTCGGGAATTTCTTGTGATGCAAGTTAAAGGTGACGCGTTTCTTCTTTTTTGTTTGTGTGTTTCTTTATATGAACTTTGCGTGCCTCTTTGTCAGGTCAAACAAGAAAAGGAAGGACTCGAGTGCCGCATTGGAAATGGCGAAAAGCGACCATTTTCAGGGGTCACCTGTTGTGTGGACTTTTGTGCGCATAGCCACAAGGATCAGCGTAACATGGATGGCGGAGCGACACTGGTAAACACAATCTTTAGTTTTATTTTTATCTTTTGTTTTCAAGGCTGTATCCGGTTCGGATGATTTGCCATCTTTAAAGTCCGTAGTGTTAAAATTTTGACGTAAACATTAGATTTACTTTTGAGCATGACATTTATGTTTGGTAGGTGCTAAAGGATGCAAACATCAAACAATAACCAAAAGTGCAAAATCCCTAGCCACCTGCAGGCCCAGTTTGTTCAAACGTTGGATAATGCTATCCATCGGATAAATCACTATCTCGTGGATATTAAAGTATTGGAGAAACCAATTGCACTATTCACTACTGGATAGTAATTTATCATGCAGTGGATAGCGCTATCCACCTTTTGAACAACTGGGGCCTAGTCTTATTTGACAATGTCCTGCAAAGATGGAGTTGTTGCATTATTGGCAAAAGAAAAACTGTCCAAACGTGGTAGGACTTCGGTCTAAGACTCTTGAGTCTTCTACTTGTTGAGGTGCAAGACGGCAATATAGCGAATGACCTGTTTTTACCTTTGGGACACTTTGGAAATTATGTCATGCCTAGCCACTTTCTTGACCCTCCTGTGGGGGTATCACCTGGTTACTCAACTGTGAATGGACAGGAAAACTCTCCAAAACACCCGGCTAACAAGGCAGTGAAAAACCAGGAACACCGTAGAGAAGAACGAAAAGAAGTGTTTCACGATATAAACAACAATCAGACTTTTGTCCCTTTGGATGGGCGTCACATCCCACATGGACATGCGCAATCGGTACATGGCTTTCCCACTTCTGTCATCCACCATCACCCAGCTTCCAACCACGTGATGAGCAACTGTTACAATGGACGGTACCCCCCTCAAGGTTCCTCATTATTTCAGTACCATCCTCATCTTGGCAATAACTACGTTTTGAATCACTGTCATGCGCCAGAAGTTCACTGGGTTGACGAGAACCACATTCCCTATTTGTACCGCAATCCCGGACACTTAAATTACTTTCAAAGTTCGGCGCTTGGTTACGTTGACGAAAGAAAGGTTCCATTTGTATCCGGGCCTTGGAACTGTCGAATACCGTTCGATAAATCCGTTAGTATGAGCAGCTCATCGACAAACCGTGTCACGGAATACGCTAAACCAAAGACTGTGATTCATCACTTCAACGGTGCCTCTCGGGAAATGGGGAGAACGTCACAAATCAAATGGGTGGATGACAAAGAGGTCCCGCTCATGAGAGCATCGGGTATTGCATCTTTTGACGAAAATGGGAATGTGAAAGAAGAAGCGGTAAATCGTAAAAATGAGAAAGATCTGTTCAATTTTGAGCAGGCGAAAAGGTCTTTCAGGATTGAAGAAGATATGGGAGGAGTAGCAATCGCTCTTGGCCATGGGTCGTTGCTTATTGAGGTTGCTAAGAAAGAGCTGCATGCCACGACTCCTTTAAAGAAGCCCAAACGGCAGGATCCTACACGCATTAGCCTTGTATTTTATCAACATAAGCACATGAACCTCACGCTTCACGGCCTTAATGAATGGGAACAGAAAGTGGCAAAGAAGAAAATGGAGGAAGAGGCTGTCAATATGGAGTCTGATCCCGCTGAAAAAGATGCTTTTGCCTTTCAACCAAACGTTGAAGAACGAGAAGTAGGATACTTAGACATGCTGGCAGAAACAGCTCTGTCAAGAGCGGACAATGAACCTGGCATCGTAAATAGCTACGTTTCTAAAGCGGGTCATTATTCTGTCCAGTCCCCATCGATGAATGGCAACTCTATAAGGCCAGGTAGCGTCAGTGAAACCTCAGTTAATCGAACCTTTAGTTTATCAGATCACCATCCTTCCACCCCGATACAACTAGGCAACTCAGGAATGAATTTTGTAGGTGGAAATTACCCATCTAAAGGTCTTCCAAATAATAATGTGGAAGAAAACAGATCGATTGGTGTTAACGGAGAAATTACCACTGGATGGTCTTTGGGAGGAAATGATCAAAATAAACATTTTCATCTGTCTCCAAAGGCGAGACGTCCAGACCATTTGTTGATGCCCTCTTTTGACGGTTCTCAAAACAATGACTTGTCCCCAACTACGAGAAATCAGACTTGGGGATCTTCTCCCCATGTTCATCACAGCGGTGGTGGACTCAAAAACCCCAGTTTGTCTAGTAGTTTCTCAAGAGTCAGTAGCAAGGTAGATGCAGATCATGTCTCATCTGGTGCAAATTCCAGTTTGAATCGTGTAGAGTTGTCATCATCACAAGACGAAGGACTGAAATGTTTGTCTTTTTCGAACGGAATGATTCCTAATAAAGTTACCAACACTGAGGCGTCTGTAGTAAAGTCACGCGATGAACGAGGAAGTACTAGCTCTAATTTCAGTGTTTTGAGACTTTTAGGAGGTGAAAATATCAAGGAGAACAAGTCCAATACCGCTTCAGCATCATACAGGATAAGTAACATCCTTGGAGATGAGAGATCTTTGTCAAGGCCGCCGCCCGGTGAAAGCATTGTTGAGAGACCTTCGCATTCCATTACACGTGAAAAAGATCGTGGGGGCCCTGTGATGTATTCCAATCCTTCAGAGCCGTCAATGCAACTTTCCGCTTCCCCGAGAATTCCATTTTTACCGCCATTCCCACTCTCTCCAGGAGAAGGTAACAAGCTTAGCAGTGGTCCAGAGAGGTCTTACCTAGACCTTTCGATGGCGGCCAATCGCTTGTTCGGCGGCTACAGTCCATACAAATTTGGTGTACCTTTCCCGACGTTTCCAAGCTTTTACATGCCTCCTTTTCATCCACTTTTCGCTGCCAGAAACGGCCTTTCATCAAATCTTGCTCTTGTAAATTCGCAGAACTATTTGTCATCTTTTATGGATTCTGCAAAGCGGATAGGTAGCACGAATGGAATAGACCATGCATCGCTAACAACCATCTCAACTGCCACACGGACTGGAGTAAGTTATCCTATTGACACGCTTATTACTGTAGCTCCTTACACACAAACATGTGTCACAGGCCACTACCAGAACTGGCTCTGATATGCCACAGGATGCTTTTTTAATGAAGCTGCCGGGATTTCACACTTGTATGAAGGCCCAGAGCTTAGCATTAGCCCCGCGTAGAACGGACAGAGAAAAAGGAGCCTGCTTTTCTGGAGCATTGTTTAGAAAGTTTGGGATTTTGCAAGGGAAGATTTGTGTTGAATCGCAAAGACAGGTTCTTATTTTCAATGGGGTTTCGTTCATAGCCTTGCATTTTTAGCGTTCTGTGTATTGCACAGTACCAAAAGAGCAGGTTTAGGATATATCTTGATATTTTAAGTAATCCTCTCATACTTTATAGTTCCAGATAGCTCTATTTTGGGCTATTTTGTCACATTAGTTCACGCTAGTTTTGGCTGTTCAGTTAGAAGAAAGAACGAATTTGATATAAAATGCAAATGTGGTTCTTGTTAATTTATGAGAAGTACGAAGATCAATCAATACATGACTGGAAAGTTATAGAGAAGTAAGACGTCTGCAAATCTTTTATGCCGGATATAGCGGCTTTTCTAGATTAATAAGTCTAGATATTCGAACTAGGATTTAGCCCTCAAACTAAAGGGACTGGTATTTGGGAATGTTTCGAACTACTTTATGAACCTTCTTTTCGCTGAATTAATTGTTTCTTCAGTGTTAGTTCGTGTGACTACTTTCAGGTTCTTATAATGAATGGCCAAAATGTAGCACGATACCATTTTTTTTTTTTCGACTTTGCTTGTCGTATCTATGTATGTTTAAATGCTATAATCGATGTGATTAGTATAAGAAGACTACAAGCGTTGTACAGTTAAGTGCCTTTTTACTTTGAAATTATATCATAGAATACATCTTCAAAACGCAAACAATTAAGTACTAGATGAAATCGCGACTGAGAGTTAAAAATTAGCCAAAATTTACGTAGAAGAGGCCTTTCGTTGGCATAAAAACGGCAAACAAAATTCCAATTCATACGAGTTTGGTGTATAGTATTGCAGTCAAGTTACTCCTATTTGTTCTTATAAATTTTATGATACAATATTATGATATTTATATATCAATGCAGTTTTTGGAAGTGTGTAACTGCAAAAGTTGGATGTATAAGATTTAAACCTACTCAGAAAGCATTACTTTTTTTGATGTCTTACCAATTGCCTTGTGGCATATTCATTTAAGCTTCCTTGAATGGTCAGCAGTGTTAACATACTGTCAACATTATCGCAGAAAAGTACATATGTACTTATGAAGTCATTTAGTCGTCGAAGCATAGCCCTCCCTGGTCAGACTAGTATTTCTTCCACACACGAAAACCAACGTGCTCGATTGAATAACGACACTTAAGCACTTATTAAAACTTCTAACCACCTTGTACAACACAAAAGAGAGTATACATGTACTAGGAAAGTACTGCCCAGTGGCTTTCCTTTGAACAATCACGTCTTTTATGCGCCAAATTTAAAGCTAAAATCACTTACACGACTTGACAATGGTGTAAGCTAGTGTAGGAGAAGGGATTGGACGTTGCCTGTGGCATCATGAAGTGAAATCTGATTTGTCACTCAATATATAGTCAGTGTCAATTAACTCTGAATTTATTGAATACTCTTTTAATAATTTATTTAAGCCTCAATGAGAGATTATTCCCAAGCTATCAGCCCTTAACTTTCTCTTAATCGGTACAACATCTTGTCAGTAGAATGTTAGAATATTATAACTCTTTTCACGTGAACTCGTTAGTATTGCAGTATATTTGGGGATTTGTTGAGACTTGAGAAGAGAATTGTTATCTCAATTTTGGGGCTTAAATCAATTGGAATTTTTAGTTTCAATATAAAAAAATATTTGGAGACATAGAAATGTTATGAAATATTCATTTTATTTGGATATATTGGCGTGCACAAAGTCACACAGCCTCATTGATTGTACGATCAATCGATTTTAATTCAGAATGTTTTTTAGAAAATCACTGTTTCAGTTAGGGCAGATAAACCATCTCTCTACTGAGGGATTGATGTAATTAGAGTGAATTGGAGAAAAGAAAACATGTAATGGCTGTTATTTTATTCGCTTGTTATGTGTGCTTATTGTGCTAACGGAAACCATATCCTTGGAGACCCAGGGAATAAGCGCCCATCCTAAAGGCAGAAAAAGCTAAGAAGCGCCCACCCCACCCTACCTTCCTCCCACTCCCATTCGAACTCAAATAAGCGACCACCCCTACCCCACGCCCAAAAAATTGAATAAGCACTAATAAGAGACTTCCCCGAAGACGGAGTTTTCTTCAGAGTATTTTACCGGAACCTTGCCTTGTTACATCTTCGAGTTTTGTTATTACCATTTATTATTTTGTAGCAAAATAAACATGCTACACTTGCTGAAAATGCTGAAAATTTAATAAGCGCCCAGCCTCGAAAAGGCGCCCACCTCGAATAAACGCCCACTCTCAAGGTCCAAAAATTTAATAAGCGCCCAGGGCGGTTAATCGAATAAATACGGTAATCTGCGATGATTGTTGCTGTCAAAGCTTTCGAGAGGTCGAGCAATATCAAAGCAGTAACTATCTTGTTGTCCATTCCTTCCAATATGGCATCCGTAGAATGAATACTGAGAGCTTCAGCAGATTTCCACTTTGGTGAGATGACGACCGGTTGTTATTCGTTAGGTAAGAACTAAATTGGTTTAGCGCTAACTTTTCGCAGATCTTGGAGGCAACGGCTAAGAAATATAAAGAGCGGTTGTTAGATGCCACCTCATCATCACCCTTTTTTGAGAGGAATTACTTCCGCTTTCTTAGACGCAGCAGGGAAGGTAGACGTGAGTAGAGAACAGTTGATGATCTTCGTAAGCGGACCCAGGATGACGGGGAGGCAATCTTTGATTATGCGAGCGTGGACTTTGTCAGGACAAAGGGAATTGTTTAAGGCCGCCTAGGCGGCGGAGTAGGGGCAGGGGGGGCAGGGGGACGGCGTAGCTCCCCCCCCCGCCACGTTTTGGTGCCGAAAAACGCATTTACCGATGTATCTGACAATATCTGTGTTGTCAGCGACTTCAGAGCCACAAATCGATTACGGACACACTAAACACTGTGAATATTGCTTGTGCCAATGAACAACGTAAAGCGCATTTTGGAAAATTTGAGTTGGGGTATGCGTATGGCTTAGTAGAAGATGAGCCCCCCACATTTCAAAACGCTCCGCCGCCTCTGAAGGGTATCTTTGTGAGCCCGATTATGTAGGGAGCGGGTGATAAGTCATTTGCGCTCCCAATTAAAACGTGAGTTGTCGTCTTTGCGAGGCTCTTTATAAGGATGGTGATAGTAATCTTTGGAAGTCCGATCATAAGGCCAGAGTGTATAATGTAGGCCTGATTGTAAAGTGAATGGGTATCTTTGTGAGCCCGATATTGCAGTGACTGTCATGGGGTGTTTGCGTAAGCCTCTCAGACTTAGGGAAAGTCTATTCTAACCCCCTTTTTAGTGGGGAAGGGTCCTTGGATCAGGTTTCTAGATGCTATTCTCATTAAGTTAGGCGTTGAGGATCTCTGTGAACTTTGGACATAAGAGTGCGTTTTGTGGGAGTTAAGATCTGATTGACGAGATTGATATCTTGCTGGGAGCTCTAATTTAAAAAAAAATTTTTTTTCATTTACATGCAATGCAGCACGTGATACATTTCTACCTGAGAGTGATTACTGTTAGTGAGAAGTATTTTCGGCGTTTCCCTAATTTTGAGAGGAATTGTTTTTTGTTGCATGTGCTTGTTGCTGCCAAGCTTTTACTGTAATCTGTTTGCGTATTTGTAGGACGATAATGACCACACTTACTAACAACAAATAAACCTCATAATTTTGGATCTTCATCAGCAGTAATGGAGTCGCCTCCCCAAAGCACCAAGGTTCCTGATAAACTATTAAAACAGAGTGAGAGCCCAGGACTCTCTACTCAGCGCAAGCGATTTGTCAAATATGGCATTCCTTTGTTGTCTTGACTTCTACGTCGGTCTGTGGTAGATATCTTCTCTAGGCCTGGGTCGGGGGAATCGTCTTAGGTCAATTTTCGGTCTTTGCTTACCCCTCCTCAGTTCCGTTTTTTCGAGCTGGTTGATGTTGTGGGATCCTCTTTCAGTGCAGCAAACGACCGCGGGATGAAAGATCCAATAGATGTGGTCAGATCGAACCCCCGCCCAGGACCTAGGGGAGATAACCAATATCGAGAGCGCTTTGCGAATGAATGAATGAATGATAACTTTATTTATACATGGTTTTAACAAAAAATAGATCAGTCTTACTATAGAAATTAATTAAAAATCTTTATAATTGGTTTACGTATGTACCACGCAGGAGTACTGATGAGCAAATCAACTATGGATGCTTCTCTTAGCGACATCTAGAGAATTTGGTTTACGTACTTCCTCGGGAGGATTGTTCCATTGAAGAGCAGCACTCTAAGAAAAACTACGATTGAGGTAGTCAGTTCTTGGTTTCGGAAGCAACAGTTTGCCCTTCGTGTCGCAGCGGTTATAATTCGAGATTTTCGGGGCAAACAAATTGCCCATCGCTGGAACATCTTTTCCAAGCTACTCAATTGATCGCTGACGAACCTTTCGTTGAGGTATCCGCACAAGCTTCGCAACAGCCCAGCCCTAATCTTGACCGAAATGTTAATTTGAAACGAAAAAGACAATGTAAAATATGGCGATTTTCCTGACCAAAGCCAGTCATTTCGCTTTTTTGCTCGCTTGAGCCATTGTTGCAAATTTCGCAGGGTACCGAAACACACTACGTCATCATTGAACCGATCTGGCCGCGAACTAAGCCGTGTACTACTTTATTTATACGAGCAGTTCGCGTCTCACGTAAGCCGTACTCGTGTAAATGGTTCATTTCGCGTCTTATGTAAGCCGTGGCTAGAGAAAACCGCGGCTTATTTTCTCTCGTAGACCTCGTGAAACGGCCCTATTAAATCATAGCTTCTCAACAGAGAAACGTCAGGTTTTTATCCATTTATTTCTTTTTTTACAAAT